ATTTAAATTTTATGCTCTAAGAATGCATTTGATATCATTTGATATCCACGGTACAAAATTTTACTAGTTCAGTTTTTATTACCAGCACACAAGTTCAGTGCCAGCTACTCGCTCGTCCTATTTGGTATTTGCAAGCGTTTGTGTTTGGCAAACTCAACAAACACACTTGTAACCCGGCAGCACGGGCATAACCAAATTCAGAAAAAAAAAGGAGAACGCGTTCAATTTTGATGCCCCCTATATAAAAAAATTTTAACTCAAAACGTAGCTGATCACAACATCAGTACGATCCAGCGCGATCTTTTTCCCACACCACTTAGCTGTTTTCAAGCACACTTCATTACTTCTTGCAACTAATTTTAACTTCTTTTGAACTCGATAACAGCGCTTTACACATAAATTTTTGCGTCCTTCTCTTCCTCTCCCGCTGCCCCAATTTTTTGCATTTTTCTTTCTAGTTGGATTATTTTGGCACCTCTACCACGAAGGAAAAGAGCAGCAAAACCCCTCTCATCGCATCACCATTCTTCTGGATATACATGTTAATGGCAGTTTCGCGCAAAGTCCTATGCAAAGTGGATGTTGGCTAGTTTTTTTTTTTTTTTTTTTCAGCTCGAAGCTAACACGCTAAAACGAAACAACCAAATGAAGAAACGATGTGTGGACAGTTGGAAGCTGTTACATTTAATGATGACTATCACTCCTCGGAATATCCTCAAAATTCTAAAGTATGATCTTTTCGCCACCATCTTTATTCAGAATTAAGATAAGACAGATGAATTCTCCAAAACTAAATGAACCTGATTCTGGAAGGGAGTTTAAATCGCCGCAAATCAGTACGGGTGTCTGCTGTGGCGTTACTCGAAATTTTTCAGCGACCTAAATGTTGACGAAACAATTACAATTCGCTTGAAACGTGTTCAATGATTAGTTATGAAAGGTGATAAAAAATTGGAAAACTAATACAAAATGCATTCTTTGAAAAAAATATGGAGAAAACATCGACCTCATCAAGCAGTATAGTGATCTCTTGCGCCAACATCATTGACTGAATCAGTTTAACATCGCAAAATTCCGGATCCCAGTGAATATGTGCTGTACACACAACAAGTGGATTTCCAACCACATTTTCGCTTGGCGCCATAGTCATTCGTCCTACAACTCAATGAAAAAGATAAGCTGTGTCATATCTGTGTGTCTAGCAACGAATAAATAGTGAAACGCACCAGGGTAGTCGGTGCGATCATGCGTTTTGCGCAGTTTCGTCCGGCTAACGTTTGCTTACTAGAAATATAATTTTTTTACGCTCTCGTGTATGGGAAAATAGATATGATGTTTGGCTCCGAAGGCGAGGAATTTCCCACTGAAAATTTCACGCGCCGGTACATGAAAGCTAAATTTGGAAACATGGACGGGGAACATCCCTCCAAATTTTAACCTTGCAGTTGTTCGGCTTCCGAGCTAGCGACTTTCACATTACAATTCTCACGTGATCTTACGTAAGATCTCTGACAACTTGGTAGCTAAGTTTGAGTTTGTGGGATACCTGCGCGGCAGAAAATGTCCTGGAATTTCATCTTTCTAGCTTTCATGGTCCCCGAGATAATTTTCTGCCAAAACTTTCATGGGGCC